GGCCATTCATGACGGTAAGGATGATTAAGGGTAGTTCCAGTTCTCCTGAGAAATCAAGTTGGGAAATAATAAAACTCACCCTCCAGCTCAGGCCTAAAGTCAAATATGGAGAAATGCAGACTGGTTTCCCCTCATAGTGATACACAGGGCAGCCCTCAAGTTGGAGGTGCTTGAGGAAAATCACCAGCTTGAACAGCACAGGATGCTGAGTGATCAGTGAAGGTCTAAGGTCTCGTCCTAAAGGTGCTGTCTAACGTCAGCCCCGTGCTTTAGTTGCTGTCATCTTGTTAATTTTCCTTTGTACATCAGAAACTAAAGATCCCTGTTTAATTACTCTCTAAGTTTCTCAGTCTTTACAACCTGCAAATATTTTATTAAGCCGTTAAACGGAATAAAGTTCACTTTTTTTAAATATCGAAATAGATTCAATTATCAACATGTACATTTTTTATTATTATTCAACTTCATACAACCCCTATAAATCCCCTTTTACTCTGATTTTTCTGGTCTAGCATGATAGAAGGACAAGAGTCTGGGAATCTAACCCCAACTCTAGCACTGTTTTGCTGTGTGAAATGGGGAAACCATGTTTCTTCTGTCCCTTTCCTTCTCTACATAATGATGACAATTCAACCCCAGTTCTAAAAGGAACATTTTTTAAATTTAGTGGCTAATGTGAGTACAAAACAGTAGGAAATCCTATCACACAGAACTAAACACATTTCTCCCCCTTAAATGAGTATACTTCAAGTCTTTTAATCTAAAATTACAAAGAGTAAGTCATTTTGTTATAGGACAGGGAGAGGGGCAGCCCAAACCCCGCAAACCTGCCTATTTTAAATGAGTCCTACCCGAAAGTGATGTCCTGAGTTAATCCCATACAGGCTTTGTGGACTCCACCCCCACTCCAGACTAAAGCCATCAAGACTCTGGGAAAGACAAATCCCATCACCATCAAGGGAGGGTGGCTGGGACCTGAGGGTGGAGTTGGGCAGCCAGGTTGGATATAAAAAAACAAACACGTGGGCCTTGGGCTCTCTCTGGCTCGCGATCGCTCGCCTCCTGGCTTCACCGCTCCTGGCTGGCGGCCAGCTCTCAGAGCACCATTTTGGGATTCCTAATCGGCGGATCGGGTAGGACTCATTTAAAACTTTGTCTCCCACTTTTCTCCCAGAGCTGTACATTTCCTCATTTCCCCTTCCCTTTGTAAATAAACCTTTTATTAACCTTTCACGTGTGCCTGCAGTAGAGCATTGATAAGTCCTTTTAAGCACGCGGGTGAGGACCCACAGTCAGGCACCCCGTTTTGTATCGGGGATGCTCTACAATAATATCATGGTGTAATTGTAAGCTGTCAGGTATATACTACCCCCTTCTCCCCAGTACCCTGACAATGTTGTGCTTCTACCCAACAACTAAGGAAAATTTATTCCCATTTTACAGAATTCTATAATTTCCAGGTAAGTTTCCTACAAGACAACAGATATCATTAATTAAAGATAAATTCTCAAATATTTTGATAACCTATCCTGGGCCAATTACACTAAAAGGGTAAGTGATTAATATGCTTTCTTCCTGTTCTCACATACCATTACTCCCATCCCTCTCCCAGGAAGACATCACAAATCAATCACAGGCCTTTCCCTTGAACTAGATACAGCCTTGGCTCCATGACCAACCAAATGGGCTTGTTTAAACAGTCCTCATCACATTTCACAGCTCCATCTATACAAGTGATGATTGTGATGCCCACATTGAAAGGTAGAAATTTGTGAGGAACTGAACATGGCTTAGAAAGCAAAACAGAGAGAAGGGATGGCCCTGTGATCTACTCAATAATGATGATGGACTCATTCTACTGAAATGGTAATTTAACTGAAGTGTTATTTAGAAGAGCGAAGGAAATCTATGGAAAGAATAGTACATCCAGCTCACTGCAAGTTGAATAAACACGTGTCCTGTTAATGGGAAGAGAGTCCATATTGATTTTTTTCTTTCAAAAGCCCATTTAGGAGAAACCATGTGGGAGGTAACAGGCTGAAAAGGAAGTTTCTATCTTGAAACAGTTTACAATTCAAAGCACTAAGATATGTAAATCAGCCAGCAGACTACATATATGTAAATACCATGAAAGACCCTGGAGATAGGCTTCTGGCAGGATTAGTCAGAGTACAAGCTGGTTTTCAGATAAGTTAAAAGAAGTAAGGTTTGTAAGGACATTCAGCCACAAAGTGGTGACCTCAATGATGCCTTGTTTTCAAAAAACAGCAGGAACATCCCCAGGGATGTAAGAAACAACACTAAGCATTTTAGAAAAAGAAGGTAAATCTGGGGGACAGGGAGCAGGTGGCCTGAAGGCAGCAATGCAAAGTCAGAGGCTGGTTTTCTTTCAGGTGCTTTAATTAGGTAAAAGTTTTGGAAAATGGTTCACAACCACTGTGTCAAGAATGAATTGGAGGGCCTCCCCAGTGGCACAGCGGTTGAGCGATGGGCTGAGAAGCTGCCCGCAGCCTCTGCAGCGCCGGTTTGACCCCCGGCTGCCAGGTGAGGGTCCCACATGGCACGCAGACCACTCCTGCCTCACCCGCTGCTCCCCTCAGTAGTGTACTTCGTCAGTCTGCCTGTTCTGTTCCCCGCTCTGGCTCTGGTGGATTCTCTCACCCTCCCGTGCTTCTGACTGTAACCAGTGCTTGTATAAATAAATAAATAAAACTTTAAAAAAAAAAAAAAAAAAGAAGAATGAATGAATTGGAGACAAAACCCTAGAACTAAAAGCCTGACAGTAAACGTGGGATTTGAGCAGCAAACTGGGTACCACACTATCCATACTCCATCCCAAGTGGGAATCTGGGGCAACTCATTTAAGAGCCCATTCTGGCACAATTGCCATAAAAGCCCTAAGTGCCATTAGCTTCATGTGTGTGATTTACCAAAGAAGCAATATAACAAAATGGCTTAGAACAACTCCTGGTTCCAATCCCAGCTCTGACACTCACTAGGTATGTGATCTCAGGGAACCTACTTAATCTCTGTCGGGTGTAAAATGGGGATAAAAATTGTTCCTGCCACTTAGTTAAGGACATAGAAAACATTTAGTGGAGTAGTTAGCTCCATAACTCCCACCCAGCGTTATTAAGAAAATGGCCAATAAGGTGCAGATTTTCGGATCCATTCACTACAGAGTCCTTTAGAAGTCCTCAATACACACTCTGGGAGTTGCTGTCAAGGATAAATGCAAAGCAGAGCAGTAAATTCCATCAGCAAGGATTTATGTGGCAGAGAGTTCAGGGGCTACAGAATCTAACACAACACTCAACAAGGATGGGGCCAATGCAGAGGGTGGAGGCTGAGAGGGAGAGGGAAATATGGGTACAGAGGGTAGAAGGAGCCTGAAACTCAAGTAGGAGTTTAAAGTTGGAAAGGGGATGGGGGCCCCAAAATATCAGTGAGTGGCCTACTGCACCTGAGCTTAAGGAAGCCTCACCTGACACAGTAGGACAGATGAGAGTAACTCCATCTGCACCTCCTGCTCCACTCAGTACCAGCCCCATGACTGCTCAAGAATCTGTCAGGTTCCACTTCTAAGCCGCTGGTTATGCAAACTGGCCTAAGTCATACCAATAGAGTTATAGTAACAACTTCACTAATTTCTTGACAAGCTCTACTTTCAAGAGCTCCTATAAGCCTTGTAAACATCTGAGCTTCAGAAACAGTCTAAGAAATTACATAAAGAGAACATATGCAGAAGGGTCCCCAGCATCAGCACAGAATAGACAAGATGGAAGTCCTGATCTATCTTACTGCCTGAATTTAAGGATCATCAACTTCCCATCCTCCCCAATTCTCCTACCAGTTTTCAAATTCTTGTTTAGTGTAATTACCATATACAAAGTGAGATGCATGAATAATGAATCAGTTCTCCACAGTTAAAATTGTCTGCCTAGTGTTCCTTGACACTATGGTCAACTTCAACTTCTTTTCTAATGCTGGAGAGTTCTGAGAGCAGAGGTGGGATCCCTATTGGACACTTCCTAGTTGTCTGATCTCAGGCAAAACACCCACGCCTCACTTTCCTTATCTGTAAAGTGGCAATAAGGAAAGCACCCCCTCAAAGCACAGTTGCAAAAATTAGATGAGCCAACTGACTGTCACATATTTAATATGCACAATATATATGTATTGACTATTATTATCATCTTTATTTCAGCATAATTTTGGCCACGGAATCTAAAACAGCAGATTGGTAAGAAACAGTGATCCTGGCTCTGCCTCCTGCAACACCTCTGAGACATGACTATCACAAACTAGCCATGCTGAGCCTGCCACATGGGGTTCACCACATGGGGAACAGCTCCAGGAACTTATTCCTTTGGAAATGGAAGTCAAGCCTATCTTTGGACCAGTCTGCCAGAGATACTCAAAAATGTGTGAACAGGAATCTCAGAAGTACGTGTGATATTTATAAAAAAAAAAAAAAAGTTTGTGAGGTGTGCTTTTAAAACATTTCCTGATCTGTGACTGCACAACACTTTATTTCCTCTCTTCTATCTGGAAATCCGGTGAGGAGAAAACCAAGACTCCCCTCCCTGTGCACCCAGCGCTAGCAGGTAAGCAAGATCACTGAACACAGCTCTCCACAGATAACAGGTCCACCTCCGTCCCGGGGACTGGGATCTGCAAGGAACGAGGTTGCAAGTGCACCCGACCCGGCAGGGAGAAATCGGAGCCCGGGTCACCTGTCGGACAGGTGAGAGAGGGCGGTCCCGCTCAGGTGCAGACCGGAGTGAGCAGCCCCCACGCCCCAAGCCCGAGGGGCCGCGCGAGCGCCTGCCAGCCCCCGGCGCCCGCCCCACAGACCGCATCTTGTCCCGACCTCCGGGCACGGCCACCTTCCGGCCGCTCAGCGGGTGTTCCTGGAAACGCGGGCAGCCCGATCGCAGGGTGAGGCCGCACGTGCCTGGGCAGCAGCCGCCGCCTCGGGCCCCCGCCTCCGCACTCACCTGGCCCGTGATGCCAGTGATGAGCGCCACCTTTCTGGGCTTGCCCATCTCGCCGTCCCCGGAGCCCCGGGCGCTGGGGCAGCGTGCCGGCGCGTGTGCCATGTTCCCGCGGGCGGGCGGGCGCGCGGCGGCGGGCAGGGCGGAGCGGAGACTGGCGGAGCGGAGGCAGCGACGCCGGAGGAACTGGAGGAACGTGGGGGTGTGCCCGCGCGCCAGCCGCCTCGCCCGGGCTGCAGGGAACGAGCGCTGCGCGCGGCCGGCCGCCACGATCTGACAGGGGCGCTCGGGAGGCCGGGCCGGGAGGGCCGGGGGCGGGCCCGGCGCGCGGGCGGCGGGGCTGCGGCCTGGCGGGCGCCGCGTCATTCGCGTCAGCCCGCGACGCGCCCGCGGCCCCGGCGGCAGGCCCCGCCCCCTGCGACGCCCGCCTCGCCGCGCCGCGCCCGCGGCCCCGGCGGCAGGCCCCGCCCCCTGCGACGCCCGCCTCGCCGCGCCGCGCCGCGCCACGCCCCCTCCGCGTTGGGCCGCGCGGCGGGGAGGGGTGAGGCGGGGCGGGGCTGCGGGCGGGGCGGGCCCTGCCGCCGGGCTCCGCCGCCGGGGCTCCGCTGGCGCAGCGGGGACGGATGCTCGGCTGCAAGGAAGCGCCTGATCCTGCATCTGCAGCTCTGGCTGGCACTTGGCATCGCCGAGGGGGGAGGAGCGGGCCCCTGGCGGGCACGGCCAAGACGTTCCTACCCTCCTGGAACCCCCTCTTTGCCCTCCCCTCTGCCCTCGCCAGGGATCCCCCAGGAATCCTAGTGGTACCCGAGGATGCTGGGAGGAAGAGTTGGACTGACCTTCCCTGTTTTTCCATTGTGTTTCTCTTTGTCATGAATTCCGAATCTAGGTGTCTCAGAGCCTGGGCCCTTGGCTTTGGTAAATGATTCCTGGAAAGCTGCGGCAGAGACTTCTGGGGAGTCTGGCTTGGTGTCACTTGAGGGACAATGACTTTACAAGGCGCCCCAGTGGGGTCACAGGTGTGAGGAATGACTAGTTTTACCTCTGGCCAGGCTTTCTGGCTCTTGGTTCCAAGAACCAACCCCGAGGCTTGGTTCCAAGGCATGAAGTTCCAAGTAACTCTGTTCAAAGTATGCTAGTTCAGAGGACTGGCAGGACATGAGAAAGTCTGCACCTCCAATGTGCGGGGCAAGGAAATGTGGAAAGACCTCGCTGGTCAATAAACCCAGACATGGCGGATTTCAAAGGAAGCAGTCCAAAGGTGGGAGCCTAGCTTAATGTCTGTTGAATTTGGCTTCCTGTGACGGCTGCACATTGGGCAGAGAAGAGCAAAGGTGACTCAGATCCCAGGAGGAAGGCAGGTGTGTGTATCTCAGCAATTGTCTGGAAAACAGGGGGATGATAAAAACCTCCTTTATTCCCACTGCTCTGCTTATCTGTACATATTTCTTTCCCCAACTCTCCTCACAGTATTGCTTCAGGTCACAAATTGAATCACTAGGAGATAGCCCAACCTACTGTGCAAGGCATGTTACAGACCTCAGATCCCCAAATCAGAAAAGCTCAAGGATTGTAATTCAAACCCCGATCCCCTAAGTCACCCAGAAATATTCCCTAGATTTATAGGTAAACTTCTCTTTGGTTTCAAACCTTGCCTCTCCCCTGGCCATTCGGTACAAAGATGGACTGAATAAATATCTGTTACATGTTCACAGAAAGCAGCCCCTTTAGAGGCCTAAAGCAGAGGACATTTACACTTCATTTGAGGAAAATCACTATAAGCGAGAAATGTCTTTGAAATTTACTAAATTACCTTTAACACTTAAGGTTTTTAATTCAAATATGCTTTGAATTAATTTGCAAATAAATTATTAGCATTGTCCCCAAAATCGCTGAAAAAATGAAGACTCAGGGAGGATGTGTAAAGTTTGTCCTGCAGCTGTAGGCCAATCCAGCAACTGAACACTCAACATTTGCCTGTTCCAGCAAAAAGTATGCCAGCAGAGCCATGGAGAGAACACTGATAATTTTGTAGGGACTATAAATAAAATAATTATAACACATTGAGGAAATTGGTAGTTCAGAGCGAAAGGTTGAAAAGAGAAGGGTAGTTCTACAGACAACTTCTCAAGAAGGGTGGCTGGGCGGTTGCTGGGGCTGCCACAGAAAGCACTTCAGGTCCCGCAGCTTCAACAACAGACACGTGTTTTCTCACAGTTCTGGAGACCACAAATCCAAGATCTAGGTGTCTGCAGGGCTGTTTCTTCCACAGTTTCTCTCCTTGGCTTGCAGGTGGCTGATGTCACGGTCACATTCTCTCTCTGTATGTTTGTATCTAAATTTCCTCTTGAAAAAGATAAACTCATGCCATTTGCAGCAACGTGGATGGAGCTAGAAGGAATTATGCTCAGTGAAATAAGACAGAAAGAAAAACAAAAATATCAGATGGTTTCACTAATAGCAGGAATATAGGGAAACCAAATAAGACATGAGAGTAAAACAATAATAACAATATAAAACACAACAAAACAAAAACAGGCAATTAAAAACAGAGACATCCTACAGGGGAGGAGGAGGGAAAGGGGTCAGAGGGAGGGAGGGGGGAGGAGCACAGGGGACTGTGGTGACTGTGCACGGGTGCATTGGTGAAGGAAATTCTATAGGGACTACACATGAGGGAGGGGGGAAGCAAACACTCTTTAAAAATGAACAATGGGGTCTCCCTGGTGGCACAAGGGGTTAAGACACAACCTATGAAGCTTTCCGCAGCCACTGCATCATGAGTTCTATCCCTGGCCAGGGAGCAACCCACATGGCGCAGCAGACCTCTCCTGTCGCACCCGCTGCTTCCCTCAGCAGTGTATTTCAGTCAGTCTGCCTGTTCTGTTCCCCATTCTGTCTCTGGTGAATCCTTTCACCCCTCCCTCACACCTCTGGCCTGTACCCCAGTTCTTGCATGCATAAATAAATAAATCTTCCCCAAAATGCAGTGAAAATGCATGCATTGTATAAAAATGAAAAATGGTATAAAAAATAAAATAATAATTAAAAATAAATAAAATATCAATGGTGCTGGGTTTGAGAAGCCCTGTTTCAATAGCAGGCAGTGAGCCAATAAGGGATAACAAGCCCATTGCTGACCTGACACACACTGTGGCTATAAACTGCAGTAACTTTACAGTGTGCTATAAAGGACGTCAACAGCCAGCTGATGGTGCTCATATCTATACCGGTCAACACCAAGCTCCCCAAACCATGTCAGCTGTTGAAGGTAGACCAGTAGTGAAGAAATAACCTTCAAGGTACTTACAGCCTAGGATAGGAAAGTGCATCATTTCATGATTTCACATGAAGTCAAGGTAAAGGCCACCTCCAAGCATAAGAATATCAATTAATTGTTTCAACACCAATATTCTCTAATTAGATTAACCTCAACTGCATTCATCTGCTCAGGTTGATGACCTGAGTGGGTGACTTAAACAGCAGACATCTACCCCACACAGTTCTTCAAGCTGAGAAGTCCAAAGTACTGGTGGCAGCCACTCTGGCTCCTGGTAAGAATTCTTTCTGGCACCAAAGGGTCATCTTGCTGTGTCCTCACATGTGGAGTGCCATGTCTCATGTCTCTTCTTACAAAAGCAGAAATTTCCTTGAGTTCTCCTGTGCCTCATGATCTCATTACATAGTAAAGGCTTCTGTCTCCCAATGCCATCACATTTCAGGGTGGGGCTTCAACATTCACAGTTGGGGAAGATATGATTAAGTCCACAACATCAACCCTTTCCTACAATACTTCTATGTCTGTCTTCATTTCCTGACATAGAGCAGATGCCAACTATTCAAGAGTAACATCTCTGCATTCCCATCCACATGGTCTCCTTTTATAACTGTACTTTCCTTTGCTTTTCACTTATAGAATATTTGTTAACCTTCTGCCATCAGATCGTTCATCATCAGGTTGAAAAATCAATGATAGATAATAGGCAGCCTGGATTAAGTGAGTCTGTGACACATGCCAGGCATGTGTTCTAGCTCATATATCTCTATGATGTGTGATATTGATTCCTATTTTATCAATGGGGAAACCAAGGATTAAAAGGGTTCAGAAACTTGCCCAAGGTCAAACAATGTCTTAACTAGTGACTGGTCATAGTAGATATCATGACTTGCTCTTTCAATCCCCATTCAATGAGCTACCTGGAAAAATCATAATACTCACATTTCCCAGATCATTTTGCATCTAGTGTTTGGGAGTCTACCAGTCAGACTTGTTCCTCCTCAATTGGGCAATGGAAGGAAACCACAAGCCACCTTCCCGCATCCAATCAGACTGACTTGACAGGTTTATTTTTTATAAAGTTTATTTATTTATATAAGAAGTGGGGTACAGGCCAGAGGCGCAGGAGAGTGAGAGGACTCACTGGAGACAGAGTGGGGAACAGAACAGGCAGATCTACTGAAATACACTGCTGAGGGGAGCAGTGGGCAAGACAGGAGAGATCTGTTGCACCATGTGGATATCTCCCTGGCCAGCTGGGAATTGAACCTCTGCTGCAGAGGCTGCAGACAGCTTCACAGCACAGCACTCAAACCACTGCGGCACCAGGGAGGCCCTTTCGTTTTGTTAGTTTTGTTTTTATTTTTAAGGATTTATTTATTTATGCATACAAGAATGGGGGTATAGGCCAGAGGTGTGTGTGGGGGGTGGGGTGGTGAGAGGCTTCACCAGAGACAGAGTGGGGAGCAGAACAGGTGGATTGACTGAAACACACTGCTGAGGGGAGCAGTGGGCAACACAGGATCTCTCTGCTGGGCCATGTGGGTAACTCCCTGGCCAGGGATCGAACTCATGCTGCAATGGCTGCAGATAGCTTCATAGGTGGCCCCTTACTTGAGACACCATATTCAGGTATATGAGTCAACTGGGGTGGTGGTAGCAGCAGTCTCCCCAAGTCTGATTTACAGCTATGCTCTGACCCAGAAAACAACAGCCCATTGAAGGCCTTCTGGCTCTGTTCCTCTGCCCCTTTACAAAGATATTTTTTAACTGAAGTTTCTATTGAGATCATTGTAGATTCAAGTGTATTTGTAGTTTCATGCCTACACCCCCAAAGTTCTGACAGCCCAAAGATGCCTCATATTGCTCTTGGACAGCCATATCACCTCCTTCCCATCCCTATTCCTAGTTCACGGGAACCACTCATTGGTCCTTCCTTCTAAAATTTTGTTTATTCAAGAGTATGATATATAGAATCATACAGTTTGAAACCTTTTAGAATTGAATTTTTCTCACTCCA